ACCAGAAAACCAGGCCTGCGGCGGAGAGGCGACGAGAGAGAAGGGGCAAAAGTCTGCGGACGGAGAAAAGACACTTCCGGGATGCAGAGCGAACATCTCCAAGAGACGGATTCCTGGACTCTGAGGTGAGAAACGGAAACTTCACACACACACGCCACACCACACATCACACACACACACCACAGCATACCCACACAGCACACCACACACAGGAACCACACACACATCACACACACACACCACACATACACCACACACACACCACACCACACCACACACACACACCACACCGCCACACAACACACCACACCACACCGCACACCGCCACACAACACACACACACCACACCACACACCACACAAACACCGCACCACACCACACAAACACACCGCACCACACACACACCATACCACACCACATACACACCGTACGACACCACTAACCACACACACACCACAACACACACCAGACCACACCGCACACCGCCACACAACACACCACGCCACTCACAACACACCACATAACACCATACACCACACACACCACACCACACACCACACACACAACACACAACACACACCAACACACCATACACCACACACACCTCACCACCAACAAGCCACACACACACCACACCACTCACACACCGTACCGCACACACACGCCACACACACCACAACACACGCACCAAACCACAGACCACACCTACACCACACAAACACCCCCACCCCACACCCCCACCACGCCACACATACCACACCTCACATCACACCACACAACACCCCATGCCACGCCACACCACACCACACATAAACAACACCCAAACCACATACACACCACACCACACACCACATAGCACCACCCCGCACACACACCATACCACACCACACACACCATACCACGCCACACACACCACAACACAACACAACACACCGTACCACATCACACACAGCCCACACCACACAGCCCACACAAAACACACCCCACACCCCATACCACACCACACACACGCACCACGCCACACACCACACCACACCACACCCCATGCCACATCACACCACACACCACACCATGCACACCACACCACACCACACCACACATGCACACACACCACACACCACAGTAAACCACACCACACCCACACCACACCACATATACACACACACCACACACCCCACGCCACACACTGCACCCCACACCCCACCACACCACACACACCACATACACCACACCACATACACCACACACACACCACACACACCACAACACAACATACACCAGACCACACCGCACACCGCCACACAACACACACATACGCCACATCGCACACCACACACCCCACACACGCCACATCACACCACACACCACACACACCTCATCACACACACACCACACCATGCCATACACACACCACACCACACACACCACAGCACACCCACACAGCACACCACACACACATCACACCATACCACACCACACCACACCACACACACCACACCACACACACACACCACACCACACACTGCACCACACACACCACACCACACCACATACCGTACCACACCACACAGCACACAAACACACCGCACGACACACACACACACACACACAAACACCACACCACACACCGTACCACACCACAACATACACCAGACCACACTGCACACCGCACCACACCACATCCCATGCCACATCACACCACACACCACACCCACACCACACCACACACACACACCACACAGCACCCACACACCACACACACACCACACACCACACACGCAGGGCCATGGGGAGATGGGGTGGCGGGAGTCTGTGCCGTTCTCTTTTGACTGCTG